CGACCCCTGACCCGCATGGGCTCCACCCGGATGGGTCAGTGGGCGGACCTGGGTTATATTTCAAAATTTGTGGGCCGACCCGAAACTTGCCCGGAACTCGTAACCGGCCGTTACCGAGCTCATATGTTGGCGGACCGACCCGGCCCGGACCACCCGGATTGACACCTCTATTAGATTCTAGTCTATCTCCAACTACTACACCGTGCAAAGGGCTTTGATTTGACTGAACTGCCCTTTGATTTCAATCAAATTGCAAGCCTTTCTCCCTTTCCTTTTAGCCCCATATTTGTACAACTTGTTTCTTTTAGGTCCAGACCGTGCTAGAGCAATACGAGGTACCATGAATTATCACGTTCAATTCTTCTTACTAAACCCATCAAACTTCTTGAAAATGTGTTTGAGACCCATTTTTTTCAAAAATGAGTTTCGTAAGAGTGAGTCTTTGAAGAATGTATAGTTAAAAATAGAGAAAATTACGTGTAAAATTATTTTATCAGAAGATTGTGTAGTTGTAAATGAATTTGAAAGTCAAACTGAGCATAGTGTTGCTCCTCTTATCCACATTGAAAGACTATAGATGTTGTGGTTCTCTTATTTTAATTCTACAATATTGGATAGGAAGATCCTATAAATTGGTGGCTATAATATAAAGGAGATCACATTATTGGTGGGCAATAAGTGTCTTATTTTCAGCACCCTTTTTCAACGAACTACAATTGGAATCTGCAATTATTCTTTCTTGATTTGTATAAATTTACGTATACTTTAATTTTTGCCGAAACCAACAGTAGATTGACTATGTTGTATTGTCTTATTATTTGCATACAAATATATCATATTTGGTACGTTGAACTGAAAAATGACTGATGGATTAAGTAAGTTTGTCGTTGTCGTCTAATACTGCACGAAATATGCCTGAAGGGGTATTAATTAGGCGAATTCTTGAGCATTTTTTTTATTTTCTTAGCCGCGACTGGTGCTGGATTCATTGTGAAAGACATGACATTTGAAAACTATGCTGGGCCGAGCAAGCATCAAGCAGTAGCGCTACGTGTTGGGGCGGATCACGCGGTGGTTTATAGATGCAACGTTGTTGGATATCAAGACACCTTATATGTGCATTCACAAAGACAATTCTATCGTGAGTGTGATGTATATGGTACAGTGGACTTTATATTTGGCAATGCTGCAGTCGTGTTCCAAAGCTGCACCATTCATGCCCGAAAGCCTCTTCCTTCTCAAAAGATCACAATCACAGCTCAAAATCGAAAGGACCCTAACCAAAACACAGGCATTTCCATCCATGCCTGCAGAATCATAGCAGAACCTGATCTCGAGAAAGAAAAGGGGGCGTATCCCACGTACTTAGGCCGGCCATGGAAAATGTACTCACGGACCGTCTACATGTTGTCCTACTTGGGCGATCATATTCACCCTAGGGGATGGCTAGAGTGGAATGGAGCATTTGCACTAGACACCTTGTACTATGGAGAGTACCAAAACAATGGTCCCGGTGCTGGAGTCGGGCAGCGCGTGAAATGGCCAGGGTATCACGTAATCACTTCCAAAGTCGAGGCTAGTCGATTCACAGTGGGACAATTTATTTACGGATCAGCTTGGTTGCCTGGTACTGGGGTGGCTTTCTTGGCAGGGCTGTCAACTTAAGCTGCATAGATGATGCTATAGAACATATAATTTCTTCATATGGTATATTAAATATTTATATATAGTTTTTTATTTTTATTTTGAATAAAAAGAAGTTGGCTTTCCAGTGTCAAGAATAATAGGGTTTAATTACTTGTTTTTGAAGTATAAAAACTTCAATCAAAGTGTTAATAATATTTTTCTGTGTTTTGACTTTGGCAACCTCCATCAAAATATTAATTTACATTAAAATTTGAGTTCAGATATGCTGTCTTGATTATGCTATTTTATTGATACATGAGTTTACCTTACCAAATCTGCACAATGTACAAAAACATGACATCTTCAGTTGCATGATTACAAACAGCAGCAAAACTAAACTGCAAAGGCTAATAAGGCACACATTTGAATTGTTGCTCTTCAACAATATACACCCAGTAAGGTTTTATTACCTTGAGAAAGTACACAAATCAAGAAAGTTTGCATACTAGGTGCATTTTAATGTTACAGTGAGTTGGAATAAAAAACAAGATGACTACCAAATCAAAAATTTCCACGGTCCAAACATCTCCTAAAACTTGACAAACAACAGAAATGCATAGTGTAATCTACAAACTCCTCTCAATAAATTCCCAAATCCTCTCCTCCATGTACATTCGGTCTCGAAGTCGTCGAGGCATGTGTCGCTCATCCGGGAAAATCAACAATTCATAAGGCTTCCCAGCTGCCACTAGTGCATTCACGAGCTGAGCAGTGTGCCTAAAGTGCACATTTTCGTCAATCATTCCGTGTACAAGCAACAACTTCCCTTTCATATTGTCCACATGATGCATCACAGAACTTTGCAAATAACCTGATTGATTTTCACTTGGCATACCCATATATTTTTCGGTGTAGAAGGTGTCGTACCCATCCCATGATGTGACTGGAGCACCTGAAACCGAACATTTGAAAACCTCGGGAAACTTTGCCAGGATCATAGCTGAGAGATATCCACCGTAGCTCCATCCATACAATCCAACGTGGCCATGTTTAGCTAAACCCTGTTTAATGAGCCATTCTGCTCCAGTTAATTGATCCTCAGCATCAATCTGGCCGCAGTTGTACTTAAGTGCACCTTCAAACTTGAGTCCACGTCGAGCAGTTCCTCTGTTATCCATCTGTAGATGGCATGGCAGCAAGGAGTGAGTCCTTTTTCTACTTCACCATATTTCCTTTTAAACGTATGTGAATGAAATAGTAAATAACATTACTTCGAGAAAAAGATTAGATTGGTCCGCTCCAACATTTCGCAAGTGCATGTTTAGTATCGAGAATCAGACAAAAGTGGACAATATATTAAAAAATGTTAGCTTCATTTTCTTTTTCATTATTTCCATGCTATACAAGTTTTAGCCGTCAGGACTAACTATTTTTTAACCTTGGTAGCTAAAGCCCTCAAAATTTCACAGGTGGGGCTGAGGGGCTGCACCGACATCCCTACTGGTGCCACCAAGCATGACCAATAAACGCAAGTGGTGGTCAAGCCAGGGAACTTGTCCACCAACTATAGACTTAGAGAAGAAAAGCATAACATGACAATAATTTAAGCAAAAAGAAGGTTCAATTAGGATTTTATCAACAAAACTAACCTTCCATACTAATATGCCTTTACTTGTCAAATACTGAGCTCTCATGTCAACTGTGTTTATCCAAGAATCACAGACAAGTTGTACGCTGGGACCACCATACACTTGAATCATTGTTTTATAAGGTGGAGGTCCAAATCTTGCCGGATCAGGTTTGTATAATGCTCCATAAAGAGTCGTCCCGTCCTTTGCCTCAACTTGAATGACATCTGGTGGCTGAAGTTGGAGCTTCTTAAATCTTGGAATGCTGAGTGGCTGCTCAAAAAGAGGCATAATCAAGCTTCCATCAGACAATGAGTGCACAGTAACTTTGGGCGGTGAACCCAAGGAATCATAAATATCCACAAATCTCTGCATCTGATGGTCAAGTACAACAACATGTTTTCCCTTTCCATGTGTCAATCTAAAGGGAACCTGCAAGGGATTACCTGGGTCTGGGTATAAATTGGCACGATAAAGATGACATTCCAAAGGGCCATCTAAAGTTCCAGTGAAATAAACAAAGCCAACAGCATCGTTTACACCCACAACTTGCTCAACCATCCAGTCACCTTCAGTTATAGGACTCAAGCACTGTCCATTCGAGTTGTGTAAATATAGATGTCTGAATCCTGCTTTCTCACTAGCCCAAATAAACCCTCCAGGAGATCTAGTGTTCACTTTGTCCAAAGGGGTGAAGCAATCATGCAGATTGATCCAAGTTTCATGTTCTTCTTCCAAGATTATTTTTCTCTGGCCTGATTTGATATCAAACTTTAGGATCTTTAGTTTAGAATGTGACCTGTTCAAAACCTGAGCAGTAAGAATATTCCCATGCATCCAACAGACTCTCGCCAAGTATTCCTCATTGTTTGCCTGGCCTCTTCCTCCACACAGAAGATCCATCCAAGTCACTGGACCTCCTGTAGCTGAAACAACACCCAATCGAACTATCACATTTGGACCACCCACAAAAGGGTAAGAATGATCTTCTTGTGCCTCTGAACCAACAAAACTTTTCCCTTGGTGCATGATCCTAAAAGGAGGTATCTCAGAATAATTAACCTCTGTAAATGCAATAAATTTGCTGTCTAGAGACCACCAGTAGCCGTTTTTACGTTCCATCTCCTCCTACAGCCAGTAAACATAAGTATTCTTCAGCTAGCAAATTCATTAAGTTTCTTGTATTGTGGAAAAGAAGTGATTGCTTCATACAAAATTTCATAAATACATAAATTTGTAATGAAAGAGAGTTTGAACTATAACCTCACCTGGGCTATGTACTCAGAAAGACCATGTGTCTGAAAAAAAAAAAAAAAGAACAAAGTATAATCAGGTTAACGATCAATTAATAAATGCACCGGCCATGCCAATGTTCAAAAGTTTTCAGTCAAAATGATACACAAGGAAAGCATGAAAAAAAAAAAAAAAGATCCACAGAGGCCGGTATGATCAATTAAGAAAATAATTTAGGCATGTTTTTAAGATCAACAGAGACAGGGATGTTCGTACAATTTATGGGTAAACTGAAGTATTGCTTTTCCTTTAAAAAAATCCAATGCTATCAGCATATGCTTCCCTCTTGCACTTATCTATTGCTTTTCCTTTAAAAAGATCCTATGCTATCAGCATATGCTTCCCTCTTGCACTTATCCTTTTCCTCATCCTTCCTTTCTTCAATTCTACACTTTTTCCCTCATTTGTCATTTATAACTGGTAAGCACTCCATCAACGATATTTCTCCCAAGTTTAACATAATTCATTTCAAATTCCAGATCAGGGTTCACTTTCCACATTCAAAGGTAGTATCACTCAATTCAAAGTTGAAACACAAAGATTTACATGTTTTCTTTTTGATATTATTAACAAAATCACATGAAGAAATGGGAAATCTGGAATTATATAAATCGAATAATCTCTTTTTGAGACTTTGGATGTGTTCAGAGTTGTGAATCTCATCCGGAGACCTGTGTTACATTTAAAGTCACAAGGATCAAAAGAAATTTATCAATGTTTTTTTATTGAAAGAAGAAGGCCAACATGCAGATTCCATTATTGCAAATAAGTAGCCTACACTATAAATTTTCATAATTGTTCAATATGAAATGGACCAGCATTCGGGACTATATATCAAATCAAAAGATGATATTTTTTTATTTTTTTTAATTTTAAATTTTTGTGCTTCTGAGTGGACTGACATGAAAATATTTGAACATTAAGAAGAGATTATAGGACAGATCTATAGGAAAAGAAAAAAAAATGAAGTGCGATAACTAAATTACAATATGCACATTGCACAATTTATATTTGTTACAGTAACTTATCCAACACAAAATGAAAGGTATGGAAAATTGAAGCCAGTAAAGAAATGAAACCTAATGCTTACAATCACGTTTCCATGAGCACCAGATGTCAACTGCTTTGACACATTGTACATAAGGTTTAACACATGCAGCTCATTATCTTTCACATAAGAAAGCATGGTTCCATCTGGAGAGACATGTGGATCAATAATTGGTGAGCATGAGGCACTTGGGAGCTTAAGATCTGACTCTACGGAGAGATCCTGAACATAAATCTGTCCACATGCGAAACCAGCAGCTTGTTATATGAGAACAAATGAAACATAGTTACACAAGATACATAGAGAAAGATGTTCAAGCGTATTGAAAAAACTTAAAATAATGAATTATGGTACCATGAATTCAGTTAGAAATACTGAGAGCATCTTTTCTCTTGTTTACAGCAAAAAGACTAGCTGGTGCTCGACCAAAAGATAAGTGTTCAAGGTTTATACCACAAAAGGTAGAGGTCTTTAAATTAGGACTATTCACTTCCATGTAGGAGTTTTTTTATTGATGCTTTAACACACATCCACAAAATTAGGGATCAAGTGAATACCCATTAATTAAAATGTATTTCAATGCTTCTCATGGTGTAACACCAAGTCATGGCTCTTGGGACAACCAATTGTTACAAGAATCAATAGAATTTTACACGAATATGTTGAGCAGTTCTCCCGTCAAGCATAATCACTGGACTTAGTTTCTACAGGAATTTTCCCAGCAAAATATTATTAATGCATGAGAAATTATTCACTGACCCTAAAAGTAAAAGAAAAGCTAGTATGAAAAGCTTTCCAGGCATTTACAATAAATCAAAAAAATTAGTTCTATTAATAACATCATCAAAACAGTATCCAAATTATGTCCAAAACACAAATTCACCCATAGTATGCAATTAATCTTACTCCAATTTACCAATATCATCAGCGACTCTCTTAAGGTGACATGTCACCATTCAGCAATATGACAAGACACCATTCAAGATATTTATCCAGTAATAAGTTTGTTTACATGGATAACACATGCATCTAATTTGAGCAAGAACACAAGTATATTATATTTCTGAAAATGAATGTAAGATGTTAGGGAACGCACTCCTGTTGGTAGAGGAACCATAATTCTCTTTTTCCTTGGGCTTGTCTTCACCCATTCGTAGCGTGTCACACCAAGCCCACGCTCTCTCGATCTCTCCCTCCTCAACTTTTCTTCAGCGGACAAATTATTCTCATCAAGCCCACCATTTGGAGGACTAAAAAACAATTCATGCTTGCTGCTAATCGGATCAAACACAAACACCTTCCTATTCAATGTCTGATCAGGACTAAACAAGTATGCTATCAAACTACCATCAGGGCTAAAGCTAATCAAAGTTGGCACTCCATAACCAGGTAAAGGGTTCTGCACTATCTCTTCAACAGGGAATACAGTGCAATTGTCTAGAGCATTTGCAGCAGTTGTGTCAGTTGCAGGCATGTCGTGGCGAAGTGATCTCGAGCGTTTCAACTTTTTCTTATTATTACTTGTATTAGGGGATTGCATTACCAATTTATTGACAAAATATTAATAGTTTGTGCATCAATTCATGCATACCAACACCCTGAAAGGACAGAAAATAAAAAATCAATCAAGCAAATTATAAATTTTAAACCAACTAAAAATTAAAGAAAAAATTCTCTATTGAACTGCTCTTCTCAATAATTTTTTTTCCCAATAAAACTCTAAATTAAATTCATGCAATATAAGAAGAGATTTGATAAATTACAAATGCGAAATAAATTGGCATGATTAAGTACTCTGTTAATCAAATAATGGACTACAGGAAAAAAAAAAATTATTCAAGAGGTGAACTGTCAGAATTAAAAAGTGCAAGAGATAAGAAAGTTTATTTCAACTTCATCATACTTAATTTTACAATTTTGATTGAAGTAAAGTTACTTTCTTGAGCTTCTTTTTTCCTTTCTATTCCTACTTCCCGCAATAGAAAAGGCGTAAAAGAAACAAAGTTTCGCTTTTTATTTCTGCAGAAATATATACGGATCAAAGAATTATTCACTTAGAAATCACTTGGGAATTGAAAATTAACGCAATCCTGATTTAATAAATACTTATTAATTAACTATGGAATAATGATCCTGATAATAAAGTAAACTTGGGATCGGAATCGGAATCGGAATCGGACCTGTAATTAGTGAACGGCAAACGGAAAACCAATGCAGAGGATCAAGATTCGGATACGATCCCTTGTGAATTGAAATTTTTTCAGAGTTCCAGGAGAATTGAAATGTTGAATCAGATTATCAGAGAATCGATTCCAGAATCTGTAGTATAATGAAAATTTTGAGCATGAAAGTGAATAAAAAGTGGAAAAAGCTTTTTTTTTTTTTTTTGTATTTTCAAAGGGGTGAAAGCGATAAGAAAAAGAACTTGGGTTGTAGAGCGTGGAGCGCGTGGAGTTAAAGTTTGATTCAGTAATAATTGAGTGGGAACCACACCAACGAGATTAAGCAAGTGCTAGTTCGGATTGATTAATTTTAATCCAAGGAATTTAGTCAATGATTTGATCATATTTAGCTTAAATTTCTCATCATGAATCAATTATTTATATGAAAAATGTAAAATCACTAAGCTTATCAGCTAATGGGTGGAATGTTGAATTTTAAATAGTAATATTTAAGTCCGACATGATCAATATGACAATGGTTCGAATTAATTAATGCACTCAGATAGATTTTAAGACAATTGGAGATCGTGTAAGTCAATCAGAGGTAAAATAAATTAGATTATACAACCAGCATACATGTAAGACTTGATAATCCATATAAGAAATACATGCTTACAAGCTGAACAAATTACTCGAACATCACAGACTAAACACATCATAACCATTTTGATGATTAGAAAGAAGGATGGTAATGCATTAGGTAAAATAGAACACTTGCTATCGTCACAATCATGAAAACACATCAGATCGTGCTTACATAAGAGGTTTTAGTCTCTAAAGAAGGCAACATGCACAATAGGACATTAAGCTTTGGTCTACTTGTTATCAAGGGAACTTGACGGCAATGATGTACTTTTAAACTCATAAAAAGATTTTGTTCAGTCTCATCACCAACGATAATTGTCAATGTCCAAATTACCTAAAAAAAACTATGATTTGTTAGTCTACTTGTTTTCTCCGAGTTTAGAATGACTAAACATGCATGTGAATTGGATGTAGGTTGGAGCAAGTTATGGTGGTATGATTGGAGTGGAAGGACTTAGATGCGGTATGTAACACATGGAGTAGCGAGATGAAACATCATATGAAGGGAACTAAAAGGTTGTAATGACATTGTTTTTTATGCAAAAAGAAGAGAGGACGGTGGGAAGGATTTTTCTGTAGTTTAACATTATTTATTTCCTTTTCTCTTTTATTTAAGGGGTGGATGTCTCATGGTTCAGTCCGAGTATTTCAAGAATTGAAACTACTCCTTAAATTTCAAGTACATTGCAAAATCGAACCATTCCATTCCATGTAATTTTTGAAACTTGATAGATACCAGTAGTTTGATTAAAATAACCTCCCTTGGTGAGTCTCAAGTGGTTTCCCTTGATATTTCAAAAATCTAAATCATCCATTAAATTTCGAATATTTTGTAGATGGAACCATTTGATGTCATGTAAATTTTGAAATCAATCTTGGTAAGTGCTCAACCCTATGAACACCATAAAAAAAGGTCTAACTCGTCGCAAAATTTAAAGTTCGAGGACTAGTGTATCAAAAATTAAAACAAGATCCCAAACTGACATTTAATAATAGTTGGGGTCACAAATGCAATTATCCCAATGGATAAGTGGATAAGAAGAAGAAAGTCCAGTGACCACCAAACGCTGAAAGGGAGCGTGGATTACATACATGTCAATGTCTAAATGATCAGTAGAGTGCTTTAAAATTATAGAAATAAGGATGAAAAAAAATTACAAAAATACATAAATGCTTCCAAAACTACTTTTCTAGACGAACAATGCTACTTGCAGTCGTCACTGCAGCAGTCGTCATATGTAGCGCACACATATCAAATGTGTATTTGATGTATTAAATGTTGTCAAAAACTACCACACTAATGCATCAAATAACTACATGTCATGTGTGTGCCACATAGGGCGACTGCTACAATAAGCGACTGCAAGTAACATTACTCTTTCTAGACGGGTTCAAGAGATTCACGAAGGCTCATGGCATCGGCCCATTATGAAAGATAAAGAAAATGCATCATATAAACTTGTATTATGATCTCGTCTGGCATGATTTGTCAAACATTTAAAAGTTATTTTTGAGACTAAGAAATTGATTTTGAATATATTTTAAAAAAAAATTATAAAAGTGATTTATCTTATTAGAATAACTTTTAGAGAAAGCCGACTTTAAGGTAACTTTCTCAAAAAAAATGTTTTCCTTAACAAAACAAAAGCAAAAATCTTTTCGGACTCTATATATGTCTTATTGTGCTAATTTAGTTTTACATCAGTGTCCCGTATGTATTTTAGAAGGACCACTTTGCATGGTGAAAAGTGACCGTTTCAACCTGAATTCCTTGTACTTAGCAATTTAGTACATGCAAGAAAGCAATTTGTATAGAAAGAGCTCGATGTTAGTATATGCTACGTGTTGAAATTAGGGTTGTTGAATGGACAAGAAGAGGAACGAGGGTTTTCCAAAACTCGTACCTTTTTTTAAGACTTGAAATTCCATCTTAAAATGTCAACCTTATTAGGAGGAGCAGTCCAGATCCTTATATGTTGACTTATGTTTTTATCTTAATTTGATGTGAGATTTATCATTTAACATCTTTGGCTTTAAGCTAGACAAAATATATATGACTCGGTCTATTTTCCAACCTAAATTAAAACAAAGCTTGATGTTCGATAGAAGAAAAAGTAGAGAGGACAATAAAGCTATAGAACCTGTTTGATAGCGATTTTCCACCCTAATTAAAATGATTTTTCCAGCCGTTATCACCTTTTTCAGTCGTCATTTTTGACCCACCATCTCACAGGTGGACCCTACAAGTACAAAGCAACAGTCATTTTTCCTCTTAAAATTGATTGAAAATGGTTCCCAGACACAGCCATAGATACATCAACTACCATGGAAAGAACGAGAAACCCATGCAGAAGAACTTGAGCTTCCTACTCATTAGGTACCATACTCGTAGTTGGAGCATTCGGAATTGAAGTAGGCGATAATGGTAGAGGAGAAATACATGAAGTGATACCAAATATACATTTGTCACAAAACTTGACAAATTTTCATTTATGATCAAAATATAAGTTGTGTCACGTTGTGCTTCGCAACTCAAATACCAAACTTATATATATTTATCATAAGTGATTATTGACACTTTTATTCCCACACTCAATAATAAATAATAAATAATATAAAATTGTCATTTTATTACATCAAAACTATAATACAAGTTGAACAATCACGTTAACGTACCAAATCATTAATTGCCACATGTATGCCACGTAGAACGATTACAGTAGTGAGCGACTGCAAATAACATTACTCTTTGAATTAGTTCCAATTCAAATTGATCGATTTTGGATTTTAGCATTGAGAATTGAAATTGGTCCGGTTCCGATTACTAGTTCTAGTTAATTTGGTTCTAAAATTATTTTTTTATAATCTCTCAATTAAACAATAATTTATATGAAATTACATGAATTAATACGTATTTAAAGTAATTAACAATTTTACCTCTTAAAAAGAAAAGCATGAGAAAAATAAGAAAATTCACTCAAAATTTACAATTTATTTCTGTCCTATTTTCGAAAAACTCCAATTGAATCACTCATCATCCACCCTTATTAGAATGATATTCTTCCCTCTAAAAAATGTTTTTGTTAAGATTATTGTTCATGAAACATTTTTAATATTTTTTTAGGAGGAATATTTGATTGAAATTAAAATTTAATTTAGATTGAACAAGTAAAAATAACTTTTAATTTACTGAAAGTAATTTTGACTTGCTTATAATATCAATTAATTCTACACCTTTTGAACGTGCCCCCTTTTTTCTTTTCTTCCCCTCGATTAAATAAGACTAAATCTAACATAATTATCAGTCCATAAATCAAATTTGCCATGTAATAATGCAATTGAGTAGTTAATTTTTCATTTTTTAATAATTTATTTATTATTAAACTAATTTGTTCTAAACTCAAGAAATTTCTATTTTCTAATAACGTTTTATCCCCTTTTTTCCCTAAATTGGAAGGAATCGAAAAAAGATATTTAATATTCTCATCATGAAAAGTTACTCTTATCTTGCAGTGGGAATGTTAAGTGGGGTGAATTAACAGTGATTTGACTACGCAAGCTGTTCATCGACTTGTACAAACTAGCTCACGAATTGAGCTTGCTGAACCGTATGAGCTAGCTCGTTGGCTTGTGCATGAGTTGGCTCACGATGACTCGCCACACAGGGGACGAGCTCATAGGACCCATGTAAGACGCACTTTGGTCGAGTAAGCGGGCTGACCTTATGACAACGACAATACTTGGAACTCTATTTCAACATCAAGACATGTTTAATTCAAGTTTTTTCTAAAACTCAATGGTAATGGACTTGAGCCACTCGATTGGTCGAGCTCAACATCCCAAATTAATTCTTTCAATTTTTTTATTAATTTCTATCTGAAAAAGTAAACCTAAAGCTTGCAAGCCATGACAACTTACTCGTGGGGCGAGCGTTCGTGCCCCCTTGGTCAACGAGCCAAGCTTGGGTAGCCAACATGGCTAGTTCAACTTGGCCCATTACCACCCCTAACTATGGGTTACTAATGTGCCAAAGTAACACAAGCCAGACCCGACATATCTCATGCACAAGTCTGGACCAGCTTTGTGGCAGGCAAAGCTAAGCCCGGTTAGTCGTGGTCTCTCAAGGCCCCATAGCGGTCTGCGCCCTTTTGATACCTCTAAGTTGGATGCTAACGTGGCTCGAGGACGAATCGTACTAGAATAAAAATTTAAGCAGCTAAAATATTTGGCAATCAAAGGCTTTAACGAACTACTTGGATACATCATCAAGCACAATATTGCTAACACGACACATTCATGGAGTTTCTTGTAGACAAAACACACCACGATGCAGACACGCACAGGAAACACATACAAGTTGCTTCAAAATCGACTTCTTCAACTACAAAGGTTTGGTATGCACACCCCGGAATCTGGATTTTGCTGTTCCTTCCATATTCTCCCAGTAACTCTAAGCTTAAGCTCCTTCCTATCCCCACCAGAAAAGAAAAGAGCCATATTCCGTTGTATAATAAGGCCGTCGTGGCTGTCCCGGACCTTGCGGTGGCTATCTCGAATGCTCCGGGGAGTACCTTCCCATATGAGCTTTCTGCCATTTGCGCCCACCTCCAAACTGTAGCTGTAGTTGCGGGATTCATTCTCATCGCCCATGAAACGCAGAAATGCCATGTAGACAGGGGCCATGCCAAGCTGGAACGCTTCGAAGTGAAGGCAGAAATATTTACCGAAACAATGGAATACCTAATAAACAAACAACAAGAACAACATTACTGAAACATTCACCATGAGCATGTTTGATAAAAATTACTAGGCATCATAATAACGATTCTTCCTTATTAATATGGTTGAGTGCTCTCTAATCCTCCTTCCCTAAAATACCACATATGTAGAAATTTCGAGGGGTCGCATAACTATTTAACGGAACATAAGAAATAGAACGGTGTTCCCTCATTTACTTTTGAGAGATACATAACAAGTCATATGAACATCAATTACAATAATCCTAATCTCTTTTCCTAATCTTGCAGCTCAATATTTTGAAATCTCAAACATGAATTGTACTTTCAGATGCAACAAGGTTAAGAGTAGCAAAGGTCCTGGGTTCTAGTTTTGCCGTCACCCATTTAATAAAATTGTGCACGCGTTAAGCTTTATTGAAAAAAAGAATGAATCCCACCTATACGGGAGGGGTTGAGTTAAAGATAATACTTAAATGATATATATGTGACCTTATCCAACAACTTTAACTTTTAGATCAAGCAATTCAACAATATTCATGAAAGAGTTGAAGCAATACAATGAGAATGGGTGGGGTGGAAGGGGCATGAAGAGTAAGAATTCTATGAATGGCAAATAATAGGACTTTATATAATCCATTGCTAACCCATAATATGAAATGGAGAATATCAACGAAATAGACACAGTATAGTATTCTTACAACTGAGTGATCCAATAACACGAAAGAATACGATGAACTTACTGTTAGCATCCAGGTGGCATTTTCTACTTCACGAGGATTTGACTTTACATAGCGATGATTAAAGGTACATCCCGTATGCATGTCCACTTTATGGTCGTCTCGCAAGTGGGTAACTAGACAAGGAATGTCCCCCGTAACTGAGCACTCTGACCCAGCATATGGACAATTGTATGGTCTAAAATTGCAAACTCCCTCGTGTTTAAGTTTGCTGTAATAGGGAAATATTTCTGGACATCCCAAAGAAAAGTACTTGCAGGGTAACTCGAGCGACTCTGCAACCTTCTCTAGCGCCAAACACCTAATATCCCCAAGCTCTTGTCTGCATGTAGGACATCGATTATGCACCCGCGTCTTACAGGTAGAACAAAGTGTGTGCCCATTGTGACACTGCAAAAACATTAAATGATCAATCTGCCACTGCTCATTCTACACAAGACTCAAGATATTTCTCACAGGTGACATTTGAGTTAGGGCTGAATCATACGACCATAACAAGTTCACAAAGATTGTTTATTCATTACATGCCATATGATGAGACAACATGTGAGTTTATTTTTTCCTTGTTGATAAATCGCGCTACGGGTGGTTATATGATATCTTGCTGATAAATCACAGATTCAAGGTCATTTGGAAATGATTTAAATGAAAAATAGATTATAATGTGGTGAGAAATATTTCAAAGGCATGCCAGCATAATTTTTTCTTAAACTCATTTTGAAGTCTCACTATATTATATCATCCACATTTCAGAGGATATGCTTGGATACTCTCCAATAAGTACCACATACATTTCTCCAATTATTGATATTTTTTAATTTTCAATACGTATCGGACACATTATGACACGTGAAGAAGAAGAATTTGATTGGTTTTAAACTCTTTTAGAACTCATTATTATTGGAAATAGATGACGAAGTATTTTTACTTAATAGATAACTATTGTTATTACCAATAACTTAAAGGAAATAGATAATGTTTGTTAATTAATAATTTCAAAGAAAGTAAATGTGTTTTAAGTCTTATTGAAAATATATATAGTATTAAATAAAATAAACCACTAGAATTTTAAATTAATTGACAACTAAAGTTTTATTATTGAACATAGACAATAGTATTAAATCTTTTAATACATTGTCAAATTTTGTTAATAATTGATAGATACAATTTTATTATCTAAAATAGATATGGGATTAAAATTTTTAATATTTTTTGCATCGGCACACCATATCACCTCGTATTCGAATTACGAATCCAAATCCGTGCTTCTTAGTTGTGAACTATATTTACTGACTGCATGTTACGATCTCCATCTAAGTAAAAGGTTTTCTACATGTTATGTCACCCTAGGTTGCAGGGAAACTATTAAAATACTAGCATTTTCATTTCGGACATGACCTACTATTTGAGCTATTAATCTAATGTGGGCTTCAACTAAAATTAGCTTAATTGCAAGCATTAGTTCTTATAAACTTATTCAACATAAAATTAACTTGACCTAATTTTACACTACTTTTATAAGTTTACGCCATAAACGCTATGTAACTATCCCAATTCAAGCCATCAATTTAAAATTGAAGAGTCCACAACCCTATTTTCTAACTTGGAACGTGTAGCATATTATGCAAGTACATCATTATTCATTGCATATAGAATTTTTGAAGGAAAATGATTCAGAACTTGTGAATTATCTTTGGTTTGAGTGTTGTTTGTTTTGAATAATTATTTTTTAAGATTACAGTGTTTCTAATTATATTAGATAGATTTCAATATTTCTATTATTTATTTAATGTTAAATAGTTTTTTAAAGTTAAATATTGAATTTATAAAAATAAATTAATGATTTTTTTTATAGCGTTTCATGTCCTACTTTTGGAAAATAACATTTCCACGTTTCATTTCGTGTCGCGTTTCTCTTTTCTTTGTTTGCAATGTAATTGTCACCCATATTTTCTCCTAATGAGTAATGACTTGTCCTACTAAATCCACAAGATGTATTAATTTTGTTCAGTACAAGATCAATAAACCACATGACTAAAAAGTAGAAAACTGATCTTAATAGCTGGTCAACAGACAACAGATATTTGGATTACATAATTAATGAAAGACAAAAGCTTGTCCTTCCCCTACACAAGTTTCCCGATCAAACAAAGCCAAAAACAAAAAAATAATAATAAAAAATATCTGGGAACAAAACAACATATTTCAAACCAGGAGATTCAACTCAAAGACAAAAAGTTTATTCGCAAAAATTGAGCTCCCAAAATTCTCTAGCATCGCTTTTAAACCATTTATTGTGCGACACGTTTTGAAACCTATTTTGCAGAAATATTTACGATTATAAGGCCCTTAGTCGCTTTCCATATTCTCTCATTTCTCTTTATATAGTAAATCAGTTTATTGCCCTTTGCATATTTTCACTTTAAGTTCCATCCCCCACCGTCGAAATTTTAAGAATACGACTCCTAATCCAAGTCAAATCTACAGTTCTCTTTACAAATAACACCTTGTACTTGATTAGAGGTCCATGATATTCAAACCGAACAAATCATTTTCATCATTTGAAGCAATATTTCGCATTTTATTAACAAGTTGAGGGAAAATACTGTGAATGAGCATTGCATTCGATAAACAACAACTATCATCGCCTCCCTAATAATATCCTGCCAATAAAATCCAAAACACAAATCAACTAGAACAAATATCCCCAAATCCACCAATAGCACCAAGAAATCTTCATTTCCAACAAACCCCAAGAATCATCACACCCCAATCAGACATAAATGTGTACTATTCACACACAAAAATGTATAACCATTTAATTAATCAGTAAAACGGCCCAATAGGGATGAGGATAGAGAGAGACCTGATGAATTGGGGGGTACATGGAGTTGGTGCAAACAGGGCATTCCAGCAATTCGTGGACGCTTGTGGGGCCAATTCCAGATGGAACTATATTGAGAGGCTTTAAAGAATAGTGATGAGGATGTTGAGAAGACACCGCTGCCTGGATCTCTTCAACTACGGTGCCATCTGATGCAGAGATACATCCCACACTTCCCATTTCAATTGTTGCCATTTCTTGGAAAATATCGAATTTCCAGTTCCAGATATTCAATCTTTTGCAGGAATCTCAGATGCCCAATTCCAAAAATTCAAGTTTTGCAGAAAAATAGGACGTGTATCTTGAGAAATCTGAGATGCCCACTATCAAAACATTGAGGATTCGTTTTATGGTTTCGTTGGGATTTTATTCCCTCTTCTTTCTCTTAAATTTCTTTGGTTTCTTTTTCTCATGAATGCTACATTTAAAAGAAGAAATCAAAGAAAATGGAAGAGAGAAAATGACAGAAACGGTTCGATTCAAAAATAAACCAAACAGATTTCCCACAAAAAAGAGATTTTTTTTTTTTTTTTTAACACTCTACGTGTCACTATGTGAGAGAGAAAATGAAATGAAAACTCGTTGATGTCGAAAATAATTTAGGTTATTTCGAGTAGCTGTTATGTTTGTTGAGAATGTTTGGCACATCAGTTGTTGATAAAGCTTTTAGGTGAATTTTTTAAAAAAGAGCAGTGATTTTTTGGTTGTCAACTAAGTGCCGTGAATATTAAATTAAATATTCGACAGTATAACTTGAAAAATACTTTAGTCGCTGTTGTTTGAGACTCATTATTCAAATATTGATTCTTTTATAAATTCATTTTCAACCACATTCATTTAATAAAATAATTTACATGTAAATTCAATTTAATCACACGTCTTCTAAAAAATTACTATTCCAAAATTCATTCTTTTGAAAAATGTGGCTTAATTTATTAATTTTACATATATTTTATTATAAAATAAAATTGTCGTGGCAAAAAAATTTTAATATGAATTGTGTACTTTCAAAATTTATTTGTTTAAGACATTCAAATAGGACTAGTTAATATGTGAAATTTCGTGAAAAAAAAAAATGAAATTGTACCAAAATTCTTTATCGACTTAGTCCATGTTTGACTCCCTTTAAAATAAAACAATTTATTTCCCTTGTTTATTTTCAATCACACATTTAAACAAGAATAATAATATGTAGCTCCACTGGAATTGTAATTACAATTTAGAAGGTGCTAAATGATATGCTAAATTGAAGGTGAAATTAAAAACTTATTTAACTACACCTATAATTTAATATCACACTAACGCTACATAAATTGGGTGTAACCCCGTGGAGTTAAATAGCATTATTCTTTAAACAATAAAATATTTTACACGAAAACTCAAAATTTTCCCCCCTTTTTTTTACCACACATTCTCCAAAAATTCGGTATACAAAAAATGTTTTCCCAAAAAAATGACCATCAAACAGAGATTAATGAAGATTTTAGTTTCGTCAATAAACACTTTTTTGGAGCACAACCAAATAACTGCATTTTTATATAGAAGTACTTTTTAACTTTCTAAAAGTGCTTTTGAATTCCCAAAAAGTGTCGGAAATACTTAAGACCTATTTGGCAAGATTTTTGACAATCAAAAACAGCTGTTGACATCCAAAAGCTATTTTTGGACATGTTTGACTAATTTTATGAAGATATTTTTTCTAATTAGAAGAGCTTTCATAAGAAACTAATACAATGTAACTTCCTCTAAAAGCAATGTAACTTCCTCTAAAAGTACTTCACGGATAAGAAACTCTTCTAAATATTAGTTTCCAAACAAAAATTAAGATAATTTTCTCTAAAAAATGTTCTACATAAAATAAAAGTAAAAGCAAAAGTTATGTCAAAAGAGCGCTTAGTCATATATAAAAATTTAGTGATTTCTAACAACAATATGAAAAAAATCAACCATGCTTATTATCACAGGGCTTTCCCAATAACCTGAGATGGCTTTGAGGTTTCTCGTCCCCAACCAGGCTTACCCACGAATTTTACACATTCAGGTAATGAAACACACGAATTCAACTAAGAGCTTGTTTGGTAGAGATGACTGGGAGACAACTACAACTAAAATCAAGAGCTTATTTGGGAGAGATTTTTTGGGGAAGAATTGATTTTGAATAGTGATATGATGGGAAATGTGTGGTTGAAAAAGAAGAAAAAATTATTGATGTGAAGGAAAATATTATTTTATTGAAGAATGTGTGGTTGAAAATAAGAATTGATTTACTATAGAAAATGAGAATCCCTACTAAACAGGTCCTAAGAAAACTTGCAGAGAGTTGAAGTATTACTAACAGGATGTAAGAACACAAATTTTGGAAAACCATTCCCAACTTTTTTTCTATAAAACAAAGAAAATGACTAGGCACAGAAATGTGAAGGATCACCATACAATTGTCTCATCACATGCATTCATTGTTCTATCTCTAAAATGCACCAACACTTCGAATATATAGACAAAAGTCGTATTGCACTTGACACTACCCACATGTCCTTCATAGTGTAGAAACCACCCGAAACTGCCATCATGTGTCTTCCATGTTTGTTTTTCACTGAATTCGAGTACTAAACCAGTTGGACAGCAAGTTCACAATGCTACTAGACGTAGCCCACATCAATCTATAGAAGAATGCCAATATGGTTTGCATCCCTGAATTCTGCCTCATGATGCCACTATCAAGTAAATTTGGCATCCATGCCTCGATCACTTGCTCATCACAAAATCGCATGCTGCCTTGTTTTTCGAATTTGCACTGACTTTGAGTATCCCACATTTTTTTGGTCATGGCATAGCAACGACAAGGCAGCATCCGTTCCATGTCCATTTTCGTGGAAAGGGTCTTCACAAACTTTTCCCACCAGAAGAACTCGATGTTCTCGTAAAGAATCTTCAAACACACAATTGCCTCCTGCATTTTCCCATGTCAAGGAACTCTCGATTCTTTCCGCGACTTCTCCATTCGATGTCCAAACATTGGGATATCAATCCAATGCGCTTCGCTGCATCTTTCCAAATTTTCCAAGGAAAACTCTCGTTCCTTTACCAACACTATCCCAATGAAACACGTACGCATCCGATTCTTCGCTCAACAGAAAGTTACCAATACAAATTCTGGAACATCGTGTCCTAGCCAAACTTACAATCTTGTTGCTAAAATCGGGTGTCTTCTCCACCAAATTATGCAACGCATCAACGTGCATGCATCCCATCACTCTGCAACAATCCATAATGGGTTCACATGAACCACTGCCAATTCCTCAGCATCTTCATTCCGATGTTCCACAACATTATTGCAACAAGTTTTGTTTCTTTTTTGGGCAATCTCTCACACGATGGGACCCATCACAAATGAAGCAACCTTTCATTTGAAAGTTTCCACTATCTTTAAGTTTTGAAGGTTGTTCTTCCAGCTTTCCAGAAACCTTTACCGCATCTTTCGAATGATTTCCACCTCCATTTCTACCTTCATTTGATTTCCTTATCGTAGTATCACCACCCAAGCATAATTCAAACAACGTATCGATTTCAGCGATGGCTGAATGAAGGTCTTTCACACCTTGCCAATGCAGCTCCTGTAAGTGTTATGCCCTAGGTCCAATCAACTTTGGACATAAACACTTTGAATATATATATATATATAATCGATGCACATGTATGGCGATATCTATTATTTAATTGAATTAATATTCTAATAAATTAAATAATAGAATCCGTAGATTCAAGTCTTGGTGATTTGTTAATCACAAGGAGTTGTGATTGTGAGATACAAATTACATATGACTGAATCTTAAATCGTCCGTGGTCGAGGTAATAACGAGATACGGATATCGTTATTACGGATAGACTATC